ATATAATTACCGTTTTCAACAGACGTGACAACGTTCGCCACTGCCGATATTTTGGGCTGTTGGAAGCAAGTCCAGAGCGAAGGCCTGTTGAGCTGCGTTTTCAATTTCGTTCAGAAAAGATGATATACAGTATCGACAAAAAAAATATAACAGCGCTGAAAGTATGTTCGTGGCGGCAGCAAAGATGATGTCGTAGATCCCAACCATAACTCACTCGCCTAGTTCCTTCCTTCACCCTTCCCCTCCCTTCCAAATCCAAGCTAACAAATATCACTCAGAACTTGAACCCCCCCGCCAACCCCATCACATCCCCCGGATCCACTTGCTCCCTCAGCGCCTGCAGCCTCCCCACATTATCCCCGTAAATCCTCTCCAGCGGCGTATCGTACAGCGCGTAGTTCGGGTACAAAGGCGCGTCCGCGACCACCTGCCCATCCGCGATCGCCACGTCAGTGAGGTGCGCCGCGCTCTGCAGGAGTGCCGCGTGGAACGTCGCGTCGGCGGCAGCGTCCGCGGGCGCCCAGGCGAAGTAGAGGTTGAGGGGCATGTACCCGGGTCCGCGCGAGGGCGGCCAGGCGGAGGGGGTTGTGTCGTGTGTGTAGAGCGAGGGCAGGAAGGGCTCGATGTCGTAGGAGATGAAGCTCGCGCCGGAGGGCGCGAGCCTGGCGCCCCAGAACTGCGAGGCGGGCGGTTAGTCCGTGGGTGGAGAAAATGCGATGGATGGATGGATGGAAACGACGTACGTTCGTCTCGTTCAAAATCGCGTCGACCATCGTCGCCGTGTAGTTGAGCAGGCTGACGGTGTGGAAGGCGCCCCTGCAACAACACGTGAGCAGAGTTCCTTCCCGAAGGTATTTATTTATTTCAACACGCACCGTTCCCCGCTAGTCGCATTCGACGGCGCGGCCTGCACGAGCGAGAGGAAGCTCCGCGTCGAGACGTCTTCAGTCAAATGCGGGATCGCCAGGAAGGCGTCGAAGATCCCCGCGGGCGGCGTGGGCCCGTCGTAGAACATCACATGCGATATACCCGGCTGAGGGAATGTAAGTCAGTCAGTCCAATATGGAATTTTTGAAAGGGTTAGGCGAAATACGCACCTGGCCGAGGAGGAAGTTGAACGTCGGGATCATGGCGGCTTTGGGATCCGTGACGTTGGCTGCGAACGCCTCAACAGCGGCGCTCACAGCGGGGATTTCCGCGACCGTGTATGTGATCAGTCCGCCCTGAAAATTATCAAATGAAGGGTCATTGATGTCCAGCAAATAAGCACGGAAATTTGTACCCAAACTTGTCCCTGCGGGAACGTCTTCAAGGTGAACTGCGTTACAATGCCCTTGATAAAAAAGAACAGTTAGCGGAATGCAAAGACGCTGTCGAGAAAACTCCTACAAAGTTATTTCCACCGCCCTATCGCATTTATATCAGCCAAAGCTCGGGGAAAGAAGGGCGGTGTGTACCTTGAGGCCGAAGAACAAATCAGGGTCAGAGGCGTTCGTTACGGACACAACGGCGCCCGCGGGCGTCACGAGCTCGAACTCGGTGATAGTGTCGACCGTCAGCCCGAACTGGTTCGTCTTCCAGGAGTATCCTAAGTACATCATCAGAGGAGTACGAGTATTCGAACGGACGAACTTACCTCCCCCAAGCGAGAAACCCGCGACGCCGACGCCCGAGACGCGTCCGCCAACGACATTGACGCCGAGCGGGGCAAGCGCAGTGTAAACCTGCATTCCTTGGTTCAATCCGACTGCACCGCGCAGCGCAGCAAGAACAATTCAACACACATCATCCCAAATCAGGCCGGTTCCAATGGTAGCCGTGCTACTCGCCGCGTCGTATGTTACGCCCGAGAAACGCGTCATGGCAATTTGCACGCCCGTGGTGGAGGAGAATCCAGGGTTCGCGGAGTGCCCGCCGCCTTTCACCTGCGTGAGCGTCAAAACTAAATCAGAGTCGATGTATTGTTTTCCGAGTATTCGCTCACCGCGAACGGCGTTCTTGTGGAGCCAAGCAACTGGATCTGAAAGCAAAGTAGAATTAGATATTAATCCCACCACAAAGAGGCATCCGTGTTTTTACAATAATCGAAACGTCCGCCGCCGTCCCTGGTTCAACCGAGCAGGCAGCAGTCTGCGTACTCGACGACGCCCAGTGCGAAATATCCGCTTCATAATTCCCTACCAGGTCCGCTGTTGGTGTTGCGTCAGCTCGGCATATAATAAATTCACGCCACGGCGCGTCCAAACGCGCGGCTTACTCGGATAATATACGGCAGACGCGGACGACACATTCGCCGCAATCTGAGCGCAGACTTCGAGAGGCGTCGTCTGGGCCCAGACCGATGGGAGCATCGGAGCGAGGGCGAGTAAAGCGACTCCAGCTAGATTACGGCGTTGGGAAGACATAGGGGGGGAGGAGGAGCAGAGGAGGGGAAGATCAGTGTATAAATACACGGCTTACTTTTTCCGTGTCAGGAGAGATACCGCTTTTAGTTCCACGGTCATTGATTCAGAGCGAAACATGGATGGCCATGATATCACAGGGGTAAATGCGTCCATGACAGGTGTACATCAGTGTAGATCGCGAAAATGTAGTACCGCGGAGAAAATTGCGGTGCCTCGGGGTGTGAACAGGCTGAGGCTAACCGCTGAGTGGGGAATTTCATGAGAAATGAGTGGATGTTGTGGAGGCATATGTACCGACCAAACCGACATTGAATCGCAAAAGCCAAGCTTTTTTAGTGGCGATGCAGGGTCGTGAATCGGGCCGCCGACTCATATATGAAACGCATAGCCGGATGACGACATACCGATATCGAAAATCCAAGAAAAGCGTAGCACCAGGCTGGGCAGGGCTGGCTAAACCATGCTGGCAAGAATCGATTCTTCACATGAAGTGGAGCCAACCTTGATGGATGTTTCCCTGGGCAGCGAATCCGCGGTTGTTTTCCCGCACTAGATTCGGTTCTGGCCTCACAGCAAAGATTGAAGGCATGAGAATGCAAAGGGCAATTGCACCATTCCGGCGGCCGAGAAATCATACGACTCGGACACTCGACTAGGGACAGTAAGTAAAGAGCCTGGACGAGCTCTGTCGCCACTGTTCCACTTCGCGAATCTGTCGCCGCAGTGTCGCGCGTGGGTGTAGAGAACTCTACAAAAAGCGTACGTATCCCGGATGCCAGTTTTTGGATTTCATTTTCCCCCGGCTGATCGCTTTTGTCGCTCATTATGGAGCGAACGACACGCACTTCTGGACAGCGTATACCTGGAATCGGTCCAACAATATCTCATATCCAGAAGCCATAGCTCACTGGCAGTTGAAAGCTAGCAAGGCCTTTGAATAGGCTCTGACCTTCAGCAGAAATGACTAACACACCGATAGTCAGTGCTACTGTACGCGTAAATCCCCGTGTATGCGTGGTTAGGACCCCCGATTATCCCTATGGAGGTCGGATCCGGAATTCGGGCTATATCTCTTTTTTGTCCGAACTTTTGTCCGAGGTGTGCTCAAAAATTTTGTCCGAATTCCGGATCTGACCTGGGTCGGACCGAAATTTTGTCCGAACTTTAGACCAATTTCATTTTTGCTCTGGCGCCCTTGAATATTGCTCAAAAAATCCAAATAAATTATATTCTGCTACTCCATCATCCTCAGCCACTTCTACGATGTCAATATCATTCCAGAGGTTCCCACTTCTGATCAAGAGAACTTCGAAGCTCAGCGTCGCTGTCTATGTCGAGGAGATCCATAACGGAGGAGATAGAGGAGAGTTGTGAAATGTATTTAGGGCAGAATGATGCCAAAGTTCTAGGATTATTCTATCTAACAACCCCCCTTGTTGAAAACAACCCGGGTTGTTGGATCAATTATTCGATCCAACAACCCCCCCTATTTATAAAGTTTGTCACAGAGTGGTTGCGCTGGAGGGCATCCCACCCTACTGGCAGTCTTATAAGCCCGTCCAGACAACCACTTGAATGATATTATGGACACCAGCTCGGCCTTTGGCCATGTTTCAAGTTTACATGCTATTTTTTTGGGACAACTGCTTGCCGCGTTGTTGCCGGGCACCTTGCCGGACGCCTTGCCGCGCCTTGCCAATTGGACTGATGGCCAAATGATTCACGGTCAAATGAAATTTCTACTCTGGCCTTTACTGCTTAAATTCCAAATGAATGTGGATGGTAGCTTTTAGCTGCCTGGAATAAAGAGGTGGGTTTGCTGAGAGAGGTGCCATTTGTCTTGGATCAGTATTGGCACGCATCCGACGAGCTCGGCATTGCTTGGTCTGTGGTTGAGTATCTGAGTTAGAATCCTTTCTGAGGTAAAATCTGGACTGGGAGTACTAGCACCAATTCTGTCACAGTAGAGTGGGATGCCCTCCAGTGCAATCACTCTGTGGCAAACTTTATAAATAGGGGGGGGGTTGTTGGATAGAATAATTGATCCAACAACCCAGGTTGTTTTCAACAAGGGGGGTTGTTAAATAGAATAATCCAAAGTTCTATTATAGCAGTAAGCTTACTTCTAGGATGAATATAGTTCATTTGGAAAGTCGCATTTTCATTGTGCATGTGAGGCGGCGAGGCCACCATCAATTGTCCGAACGCGGATCCGACCTCAGCACCGCTCCCGACCCATTGTCCGAACTTTTGACCCGACCTGTCGGGTCCAAAAGTGGATTTGTCCAAATTTTGGCTCCGACTTTGGCCAGGCCGATTCGGAATTTTGTCCAAATTTGGATCCGACCTTTATAGGGATAATCGGGGGTCCTGCGTGGTTCCAATGATACTGGTTCGCCTCCCATCCGCAAGTCATCCTTAAACGCGTCGAAGGGTTCAAACGGCGAGTGAACAGTAACTTGTTGATTATTTAAATCGGGTCGGCAATCAGATTCGATCATATCCGCCATCATGCCGAGACTTCGGCCGTTATTCGATGTCGGGTGAAATCTGCGTCCGCGGACCATGATCGTTGCGGCGCGCACTGATAATGTGGCTTTGGTGGGGTAGTGGTAACCTGGGTCGTTGCCATCATAAAATCTTGAGATGGATCTCGACCCGCCGGGGGTTCGATTCCCTCCCAAAGCACTCTTTTTTGCCTTTCGTTCCCGCCCGAAGGACGACGTGAATGACTGTGTACAGCTTCCATGTTCAACAAGGATGTCCTCGCCCAGTTGCGGCTCTGCTGATTCAGTACCAGGCTCTTGAGTTGACCCTATTAATAACCAGCAAAGTATTAATTAAAAGGAACAGTGGCAGTCCTCGCGGAGGTGAGTTGACGACCCACACATATAGCACAGTCACGGGCAAATTTTTCTATAGATAATAGAGTACTAGTGATCATGAAATACGTGCAAACGATGCATTTACTGTAATGCAACGTTACCTCAATTCAAATAGTGGGAATTCGAGTGACCCTCGACGGAGGTGATTATTCCTGTGCTGCACATACATGTATCCATGTCAGGATACCACCCTCGCATTGGAGGCCTGATGTGGTTGTTTACAACCACTACGTACTCGAAGGCATGCAGCATGCTGTTGGTCAATAATGGAGCCCGGAATCATGCAAGGTGTTTAGATGGGAGTGTGTGTAGTGCGTTCATCTAGTGGCCGTTCAACTGGGTTGTCGGCAGCTTCCCGTCCCTTCCTTGTTTGGTAGTAATCGCATTGGAGTGATCGCATCCGTCTGGAATTGAGTTGACAGAGACAGAGACTTGTCAGATTACCGCGGCGGTTCATTCCTACACGGGTTAGTTCAAACGAGAAAATCAGGCCGCTGTTGTGATGTGAGAGGTCCTGACGACATGACAGTCATGTGTATACGACTTACCTATTTCATTTATCGACAACCTGAATGATGGGATACGGTAACTTGCGGGGTTCTCTTGCGACAGTAAGTGATCGAAAGAAACGACCGTCAAGAAGCTTACGTTGAACGTACAGTACAGCACACATCTCGGCTTCTGTGCGAGCTTGCCCTCGACACTTCCGGCTCTTTTTGCACGAGGTCTGGATATATTGGTATCACAATTGAGTTTTAACTGTGGATATGAATGCGGTGGATTGTGGATCTTACTGTGACTATATGATTATGTTCCTGTGAACGGAATTCAACTCGTCGGAGCTATCAGCACTCGGGTTGAAGTAGAACAAATTTGCTCGCACAATAGAGGTCGCAAATCTGATTCATCTCGGTTCGAAATACGATTGAGGGCAAGATAGGCGGACGAACGACGGGGCAACCAATCGAGTCGAACGTGCCCTGCTCTCCTGCAGCATGCGGGGTCAAGAAGCTGGATCTGCGCTGCCCTACAGTACTGACACAAGTACTGACACAGCGGGCGATGGCGGACTGCTGCTTGCTACCCATCTACCCAATCCGCACTAACATCCTGAGCGCTTCCGCATTTGGCGTATTAGCGCGGAGGTCGAAAGCCCAAGGCTCAGTTCCCTCTGTGTCAGTGTTTGCGTCCCTAGTGTGCCGCGCACCAGCCGCGTCCGTGTCTGAGAAAGGCACAGTGCGGAACGCATGCAGCGCGCCCTCGCGCGGCAGCATCATCCACGTCTCACTCAAACGAACCTCCGGTCCTGGCCGGTGTTCGAGACGTTGCGGCGGACTCCGTGGCCACCCGACGCGATGCACGCGCGCGGGATCAGAATCGGACTCTGGAGGCGGTGGGTCTTGTTGCGCGAGGGAGACGGGTTCGAGGAGCTTCGCGATGCGCAGGTGGAGGATGTGCCGGTTCGTCGGGTTGAGCTCAAAGTGCACTAGGGCGGAACCTGCGTAGAGTAGATAGATATGGATCGGTCAGCTTAGCTCCATTTCTGTGAGGTCGAAGGAAAGAAGACGACGGCTGACCTTTAAAGGGACGGGGTCGGTTCCTTTTGGGGCCGCGGTGGGGAGGCAGATTGTCACTAAAGACGTGTTTCATGCGGCTGACCGTGCGCATTTCGTCCTCGCCGACGACAGAAAAGTTCAATTCGACGTGTTCGAAATGCACAGGGAAGAGCTGGTGCAAGCGGAAGAGCATGGGCTCGCGCCTATCTTTCGGCCTTCGGGGGTGGCTCTGCCACGCGGCGAGCACCTGTGGGGACAGCTGCCCTTCGCGGAGGAGCTGCTCACGGACAACGGCGGTGGAGGGCGACGTGCTCATCTGCACTAAGAATTTCTCCCAGGGGAGCCCGTTTGGGAGGAGCAGGTCGTATCCGTCGTTGAAGGAGGACGGGTTGAGCGTTGTCGTACAGCGGAAGCGGATGCTCGCGGCTAGATGGGGGAGGCCGGGCTGGGTGCCGACGTAGAGAAAACCGCGCGCATACTTGGGGAATGGCATGTACTTGGAGGGGGCGTACCGGGGGGTTCGCATGTTTGAGTAGAAAAGCCGTAAACTGGGTTTGCGGCCCAAGCCCTTGCCATCGGCAGAGTGCGTGAAGCGGACGTGCACTCGGCCCAGACCGGATAAATCGAGGTAATCCGATGCGGTGAGAAAGGCGGGAACCAGGGTTGAGAGGTTGCGATTTAACCCCAGGCGTTCAGCCGAATCTAGCTCAGGGGACGCGGACTAGATATGTTTTAAACAAGAATCAAGGCCAGGATGAGATATGCACGGACAATTGTATGCTGACCGCGACTCTGCTTTCCTGGCGCACGGTCGTGGAATGAGCCTGAGAGTCGCTGGATTAGTTCCACGGCCCTCGTCCTGGAATATTGGGGCCTGCTCAACGCCTATCGTCATTATTCCTGAGAAGGGTGTGACACGCGGAGGATCGTAGGCTAACCTTTGTACACAAACTCCTTCCGCACAACCCTCGCAAAACCAACCGTTGCAGCATGTACTCGAGTCTCTAACCCGGCGCGTCTAGTGATGTGCAGAAGCTTTAAGTTGAAGCTGCAGAAGCAGTGCACGCGCCACGTCACGGTTCACTTTCCCACCACGTGCTCGGCAAGAAGAGTTGAAATGACACTCGTCCGAATCGTCGCCTCTACCACCACGACTTACAGGACCCCCGTTAATGGGTGGGAAGGCCTGTTTTTTTTTGGGGCCCCAAGGTCAGGACCGGTTTCAAAATCTTTGTCAGGATTGCAACAGGCCTTTGAGCGAAAATTGGCCCGAAAATGTCAGGATTTTGCACCAGATCAATTTTTTCGCCCCAGATGGGTCAATTTTCGAAAAAATTTCCGGCGCTGCTGCGGTTGTGTCAGGATTTTGACCAGGCTTTTGGGCCCCAGAGGCGTGTTTTGTCAGGATTTTCACCAGGCCTGGCGGCCAAAATCACCCAAAAATGTCAGGATTCACATCAGGGGTTCCGACCCCGGCCATTAACGGGGGTCCTCGACTTACCTGTGCTCGCGCACCCGCACGAATGTACGAATAGCCCCCCCCCCCTCCCCCTTTGCCTCTCTCTGTTTCTCTCACCTCAAGGAACCCCTGCCCACGCCTTTACCTGCTCCTGCGGCGAGTCGCGGGGCTGCTATTATTATTTTATTATAGCAAGAGTTGGACAAAAGTGGGAACTGGTAATGAAGAATGTGCACCTCCCAAACCTTATATACCTGCTGATTGCGAAGGAAATTCACAAAATTTTCGCTTCCAAACTCTACCTCACGAAATCAGCATCGAGCCGTGCAAGCTCGTGAAAGCCAATTGAACCGACTTATGACTAAACCGGACATCATTTTTGGTCCAACTTCTCCCCGCGCAAAAGTGTTGGAGGATCAACCGAAACACCCGTGCACCGACATCTGGCCGTTACCATTTCCTGACTCATCCATTCCGCGCCCGACGTTTTACCCGTACCGATGTTTCCCCCACCGACGTTTTCCCTGCCGTTATTTCTCCTCTTGTACTTATCCCCTTTCGCATTGATAGCTGTTCATTTTGTATAAGTACCACCGTAATTTTATCGAGACCTCTGCGCGTTTGCAGAGGGTCACTGAGCATCCGCTTCGTCCCTAGGCTCAAAATCCAACAAAAAGTCCGACAGCCCTCGTCGAGGCATAATTATATTTATGCCACACAACAGGATCGTTCAACTCCCGCATTGTCGCCACAACTTCTCCGATCCCCGTAGTCCAACCAAGGAGCACAAAGTTTCATTTTCTATGGAGCTCGAGAAAGGAAACCCCCGAAACGATGCATACTCAATATTATACAAGGATCGTCGGTTTTCACATGGAAGCAGCTGTGGTGTATGTACATGGCGGGGACTCCGAGCCGTGGACCAGGCGAAGGTGCAGACCGAGCGCAACGAGCGTCCGCGCAGAAGGCGCAGGTCCTAAAGCGCTGGAGAATAGCTTGTAGTTTGCTATGGAGGAGCTAAAAAAAGGGCAGTCAGTACGTGTTTTTTTTCCGCCAAAAAACAGCTCCAGAATTCAGTGGATGTGTGTCGTCACGCTGGGGAGACCCAGTTGGACGATGTCGATAAATTTTGAAACATCATAGCAAGAAGCAGCAAGAACGGAACTCACAAGTGTGAACAAGTATACTTGGGGGCTTGCTCTGCTGCAATCCCGACAGAGTACCTACGAACAAGTACATTACTTATACTACTCCGACCCTCATACGTGAGTCACATTCAACTTGAACCGAAACTATTAAAAGAACTCTAGTCTGCGCTGAAACTTTGATCACTTTCAACATCCGTTCTTTGACCGAGGCTTCGGGCCGCACTGCATGGGACCGAAGCCATCGGTCAGTCAGCAACGGCGTGCGATCTTTCTGTACACATTCGTTCCTTGACCGATGACTCCGGTCTCAGGCAGGTGTGTCACAATCCATGCGCCAGAAACGCGGGGTTCAATTTTTAGTAGGGTGACGTCCGACTCGATTCTTGAAATCAACCAATATTTCGTCCACATCGCCTTAATGCCGGTGGAAAAACGATCCCAACAGGAAACGGAAATAAAATATCCCTTCAATGTAGTTGGACCGTGTCGTCGTCGCCCTGTCGATGAGACGTCGCTGCGTCCGGTCATCTCTTAAATCCCCGTCTTCTTCAACTACCACGGCCTACGTCCGGCCAACGTCCGGCAGCAGTTGCCTTTCATATAGGCTCTGTCGCCTGCGTCGACAAAGAATGGGTCGATT